TGTGAGAGAGAGAGAGAGAGAGAGAGAGAGAGAGAGAGAGAGAGAGAGATAGATTTGGGGTGTGTGGGAAGTATCCAGCTCTTTAGTAGACCTTGTTATGATTTTACAGACAGGACAACATCAGGAAACCTGCCTGTAATCTGAGAGGATCCCTGTATTTTAATGATTTCTTGACAATTCCTCAAGTCCATGGGCACAGCAGTGGAAACTGACATTGTGCTTCACTGGAAGCCAAATCCTCGGGGTGCTTCGGAGTTCCTCTAAGACATGCATCTGCGTTCCTCCATCTGTCATCTTAGCTCATCTTCCTCTCCCAACTGTTCTTAAATTAAATGACTACGTCTAATGGGAGATTTTCTCGTGAAAGCTTATGAGAATTTGTCCAAAGGCAAATTAAAACATTGCAATGTAATCACTCAACTCAACTCACTGCTGGGCTGGCCCCAGTGCTTACTTTTACTCAAAGAAGTTAATCAACCTTTGGGTCCCACACAGAAAAGCAACCAGGAAGAAAAACCATTTGAGAGGATGGGTTTTCTTCCTGGTTGCTTCTGCCAAGAGGTGAATGGAGGGTCTGGGGACAAAGTGTGACTGCAGAGAGGGATGTGCAAGGGCTCCAAAGACCAGGGCAAGAAGGACAACAGGTGAAGACGTGAAAGAAAAGAAACACCTAGTTCTACTACGTCATGGCATGATGCTTAATCTGAGGGCTGTGAAAAATCAACCTTTTCTCACTCTTACTCCCCATAGATGAAAGGATGAGGGTTCTTGTGACTGTCAGAGTTTGGTAGTATCAACAGGACTCTTCAGCTTGACTAGTCATTTTCCTTTCATTCCCTCATGGCTCCATTTGGTTGAAGAGGGCAGTAACCCCAGCAATTTCAACTTATACAAATTTAACTAAGGAGACAACTGAACAGGTTCATCAAGCACAAAGATGTTCGCTACATCATAGTTTATAATATGATTCCCATCAATAGGGGATTGGTTAAATAAGTGGTGCTACATCCAGCACTGGATTTTAATGCAATCATTAAAAAGGAACAGGCAAATCTGTAATTTGCTGATGTGACATATTGCTGTGGACAGCATGTATAACATGATACTACTAACATCAAATAAGGCACATATATATGTGTGTTTGTTTGAAAGATATCTCATGGGATGAAATACAGGTTAACAGCGTTTGCTTCTGCGTGGCAGAATTTGGACTGATTTGAATTTTTTTAAATGATTTTATAAATTGCTTGTATATTTCAAGATATTGTATGTTATCTTTATCACTGGAAAACAAGCTGAAAGCTAGGTCCATATTTTAAAGAAAAAAAGAACAGCCATGGTTAATGGCATGTGACTCTTCTAGAGTTTCCAAACCCAAAAACCTCCCAAGGGGGATCAACAGATGGCATAGCAGTTACATCTTTAGACTCCCACATGACCGACTGTGGTTCAAGTTCTGGACCTGGTAGCTTGAAACTCATGCCAGGTGCATGTGTGTGCATGCCCAAGATCCTGGGAGGAGAATGAAAGAGAAGGGATTGTGGTGTGGCCATGCCCCCTGAAGGGGGACTTCTCACTTTCCCCTCTCACTGTCTCTGTTTCTTTCTAGCAAGTGCATGTGCCCTAGGTCAAAAAACTCTATTAAAAAAAAAGTCCCAAGAGCTAAATCTTAGGAAAGAGGTATGCCTGAGTCATGTTGGGACTAGGGAGTTGGTTGCCCTAGTGATGCTTCAACTCTTTATTCCCAGGCACTATACCCTAATTTGATAATAATTTCAATTGAACTTTATTTATGCTGCCACTAACCACTCAGGATGCTTCCCTAGACCAATGCTGTCAGTTCATCTTCATATCAACTATGTAAGGCCAAGGCAGACAGGGAAAATGAAGAAATGTTTCCTAATCTGAGGACCTAAAATAGTGGTTATGGGACTTGAGGGACACTGTGGTACTGCTAAGATCAGCGTGCTTGTCCTCGGTGCTTCTTTTGAATTTTTTAAAGCATTATAAAATGATTTCTTTTGGGACCAGCAGTTGGCATAACGGCTACGTCGCTGGACTCCCATGTAGTTGACAGCAGTTCGAGTCCTGGACCCAGTGGCTTAAACTCACGCTGGGTATGAGTGCATGCATGCCCAAGATCCCGAGAGGAGAATGGAGGACAAGGGATTGTGGTGTGGCCATCCCCCCTAGGAGGTGATTTCTTGCTTTCTGTCTCTCTGTCGAGCACATGTGCACTATAGCAAAAACCTCTCCTCCAAAAAACAATTATTTTTTAAAATTTTATTATTATTATTATTAAAGTTGACCAGAGAGAGACAGGGAGAGAAAGAGAGGGAAAGTGAGAAAGCAAGCCACCAGGTCTGGGATTTAAACCGTGGTTGGCTGTGTAGGAGTCCAATGCCCTTAACTGTCATACTACCTGCCAGCCCTGTCCTCAGTGCTTCTTCTACTAATCCATAGTACTTCACTTTGGAAGGAAGATGGAGGTTTAAAATAGTGCATGAAACAGAACTGGAATCTCCCATATCTTTGTGCCTTGAGATTTTCAGGAGCTGGATTATAATCTGGCTATGATGAAAGTGCTCATTAAGAGGAAAGTTTCTGGACCTCAGATGGCCATCGATGGTCTTGATTCATATTCTTCCTGCTGTTTCTGCTAATATTGTGGACAGGGTGCCCTCCCTGATGTCTGGAGATTGGGGTAATAATTTCAGTTCTTCTATTAACTGCTGCAAATGTGAAGGTTAACTTGACTGGGCCCTACTTTTTAATGCATGGAAGGAATGAAGAGAGAA